TCCCCGCAAACCGCGCTGGGGTTTTGTGTGTTCTCAAATGAATTAAGGTGCTTGCGAGCAGCCGGGGTGTCGTTTCTCGCTCTCTCTGTTGCTTTCTGGGTGCATTTAGAGATTTTTGGGGGGGTCGGAGGGAGCCTCGCCTGCCCGCGCCGGCGGGGGAGCCCCGGGCAGGCTCGGGATGCGCCTTCCCGGGAGCGCGGCTGTGGGGGAGCACATGGCCCGCGAGCTGGAGGTTCGCTATTTATATCGTCCCCGGATGGCTTCTGTGGCTCATATGGCCGTAGGTGGCCGTATGGATCCTCCCCGCACCCACGAGGGCTGAGCTGCGGAACTCGGGTCCTTCGGGAGCTGGGGAGAGCAGGGGAGTTGTCCCTGCGTCCTCACTTGGCCCTGCTGGTCGGGAAAATACAGACCATCAAACTTAACCCATCTGTCATGGAATCATCCCCGAGTGGTTTGGGTTGGGAGCGACCTTAGAGCCCATCCAGTCCCACCCCCTGCCGTGGGCAGGGGCACCTTCCACTAGCCCAGGTTGCCCCAGGTCTCATCCGACGTGGCCTTGGACACTTCCAGGGATGGGGCAGCCACAGCCTTAGGTTTTGCTCTTAGAATCAGGTTGGGAGAAGAGCAGTGAGTGAACCAGAAAATACCATCCTTGAGAGCAGAAACCAACTCTGCTTGGAGGGTGAGGGGAGGATGAGACCACCAGCAGCGGCTGAAAACTTCAAAAGTCCCATTTTTTCCCCAGAACTTACTTGTGAAGTTACAGTATGGGAGCTGAACTTCAAAAAAAAGGGAGAGAGAGGATAAGCAGCATGTTTTTATTCCCAAATTATAGTGGGTTGTCCCTTTATATCAATTTGGACAGAGATCAAAGGTAGAACAGGGCTTCGTTCCACTAATTTTTGGTTACTGTTGCATTTTGCGTTACCTCAGAGTGGCAAATACAGGTGTGGTGTTTCTTTAATACCTCTGCTAGTTCTGCCTGTTGCTTACCTGGGTGATTTTTCTGTCCAGCTCCTCTGGATGTACAGATGCAGTGAGGGCTTGTCGAAAATTCCCCGTGAGATGTGTGTGTGAGCCAGTCTCTGGCTGGAAATCAAACCTTCCTCAAGGTGTAAGTACCTGGGCAGGTTTTAAAACCAATCCTCAAACCTCAGGTTTAGGAAGGTTTCTGGCTGATGTGATGGGGCTTGTGGGCCAGATTTGGAGCAAGCAGGAAAGGTGCTGGGATGCAGGATTTCAGAAAGGGAAGTATATCAGGGATTTTGTGAAAGTGGCAGGTTGTCTTTGAGGGAGTTTTGGCTACAAAAGCTCTCTTTGGAGTCAGGGTTCTCACCCAGGGAAAGGAGAATTTAGTGCTGCTTCGTGGGGCTTTTCTTCAGAGTATTTTTCTCCAGAAAGATTGAGGACCAAGTGTCAGAAATTTGGGATCTCTACTTGTCTCTGCTTCAAGCTGTTGAAATTGCTGTGCTGGGAAACTTCACAGATCTCTTGTGTGAAACTTAAGTTAGTTGAGAATTTCTTAATTTGCAGCACTAATGTAAAAAGTTGGAAGAAAACATTTTTAACACTCCCCCGAGGATGTTTTGATCAATATACTTTCCCCCCCCCCAAAAAAAAAAAACCATAGAGGAGAATCCTTCTCCTGAGTTTGTGCTTTGCTTTTCCTCTGTTCTGGTTTGCCCACAGGGAAGCTCTAATGAATTCTCTCATGAGAGGGGATCTGCCTCAAGTTGCACCGGGGGAGGTTCAGATTAGGTATTAGGGAATTTATTTTCATGGAGGGGGTTCTCAAGCACTGGAAGAGGCTGCCCAGGGCAGTGGCAGAGTCACCGTGCCTGGAAGTGTTCATAAAACATGTGGTTGTGGCACTTGGAGACGTGGGGCAGTGATGGTGGCAGTGCTGGGTTGATGATTGCACTCAATCTTAAAGGTCTTTTCCATCCTTTACAATTCCATGATTCCATGATGCTGCAGTTGAGCCTTATAAGAACATCTGCTTCTGTCTGTGCTCGGTCCTGAGTTATGGTGTTACCACTCGGGCTCTTGTGCAGGGGTGTGGTGCTTCTGGAGGTTTGGAAGGTTTTGTGTGTGCAAGTTCTTCGTTTTGGGGTTTTTTGGCGTGGTTGGAGCCCAAGCTGCTGAACAAAGACACCCCATTGCCCTGCAGGGCAGGGAGCACCATCCCCTCCACGCTGGTGCTTGGAACAGCCCTGGTGGGAAGGGACAGGTCGGGTCCCCAAGGCTGGATGTGAAGGAGTGGGGTGGGTTATGGCAGCTGGAGGAGTCACCCAGCTTGGTCTGGCTTGTTCCCATCAGTGTTTCTGTGTCTGTGCCAGCCCAGCCCATCCCAGCAGAACCCAGCTGGAGTGTGGGACTGCCAGGGCAGGGCTGGGTGTCGATGCTCCATCCCGGGATAACGCGGTGATGCTGTAGGAGGGATGCTGGCAGTGCCAGGGTGGGCAGTGTCCCGGGATCCCCATCTCCCTGGGAGCAGAGTCAGGGGTCCTGCAGCCCCCCAAGGGCCCCCAGCGCCGGGCTTGACCTGGAGCAGGGCTGGGGGGAGAAGTGAGAGGAGGGAGCACACGGAAAAGGAGAAGGAAAATCACTTTGTGTTCTCCCCATCGCCCCCCCAGCGAGTAAAAGAGGCTCTGGGTGTGTGCTCTCCATCACCCGTTTCCCCGGGTTATTCCTGTCTCCATTTCTTCCCAAGGCAGGCGGCGGCTGGGCTGGCTCAGGGTTTGGTTGTTTTTTTTTTTGCCTTTTGTCCCTGGCTTCCCAAGTTGTGCAGATCCTGTGCGGGCTAAATGGGAGAGCGGAGGGGAGGAGACTCGTGCGAGGAGGGAGGAGGGGAGAGGGCCTGGGCTGGCAGCCGCGCTCTCCTTAAGGATATAAGGCAGGAAACAAAGGGCGAGCTGCACATGGAGAGCGGGGGCACCTGGCAGGCCTGGCCCTTCAATAGCCTGCCCCGAAGGCGGCTTAATCCACACGGAAAAGTCTGGGAATGAGGGGTGGGGGTGGCTCGGGCTGGTCCCGGTGCCCAGGTCAGTGTTGTCGGGAGCCAGGGGCAGATAAAGCCTCGGAGCTGTTGATGGACGAGCATGTAAAATCCTTTGCAACTTTGCTTGCCCTTGCCTTTCAGCCTTGGGGGAGTGTGACAGACCCCAATTTGGGACCCCGGGATCAGTTTGGCCTCGCAGCTTCGGTGCCTGCAGGGTTTGTTGCTGAGAGAGTTTGGGTTTTGCAGCTTTGTACCAAAATGTCTCCTTCCTGGGCCTCTTTAAAGTCTTTGTGTCTCCAAGCCAGGAGTGCAGGGCAAAGCCTTTGCTCTGGGGTGGAAGGAGGTAAATTCTGTGTTCTGTGACATTTAAAGGGCACAGAGGCACTTCAGCAGTGCTCAGAGTCGTGAAATGCTGGGGGGCAGTTTCTGTGTGTTGTGAGCAGCAGGCAGTGCTGCTGCTCAAGTTTGGGGTTGTTTGGGCTTCCCCCCACACTTTGAGCCTCTCAGGTCCCCCCAGTGTCCTGCATGCCCCTGCCAGAGGGTCTCCAAGCACCCCAGCCCCTCCTTTCTGTGCTCAGTCACCTTTGAGGTGTAGCTTTGCCCCTGATGTCCCGGAGCAGCTTGGGATGATCCTGCCTTTTGCGAGACCTAATCCCAATAAAAGTTTTTCTTCTGACTGTTTCAGTGCTTTTCCTTTGGGCCAAGCTTCCCCAGGAAGAGACAGGACTCTCAGTCATTTCAGGTGGGTTTTCTGAGACGTTTGTGGACTTTGAGCAGCTTTTCAGTTCCATTGCAAAATGAACACAGCAAAACCACACGAACCCAAAGGGCTCTGTTTGTTTAAAATCCTGTCTCTGAGTGTATCTGTTTGTTCTGAAAGTTACTCTGCACTTTAGTCCATTATTTTTAAAATGACAAAGACACTAAACCCTAAATTGGAGCAGCAGATCTTGGAAGAGGAAGCAATGCCATGTTCTTCATACAGGAGGAGTTTCTCTTCCTGGCTTCACCCACAGCTCTGCCCTAAAGCTGTTGGAGTTGGTTATTCCTCTCTCTGGGTCGAGGCAAAAAACTCCCTTTATGGTCCTAAAAAGTGATTTACAAACTTGGGGCTGGACTCAGGCTCTGTTCCTGGGTGCTTATCCTGCTCTGTGTTGTCTTCTGGCCAGAGTGTCAGTGCAGCTCCACAGTTATTCCAGCTGAGGAATAACCAGTGATGGAGTGTTTGCTCCCCCTCTCCCTGCCCTCCAAAGATGGATTATTTTCCCCAGCTGGCTCATTTGCATGAACACTTTGGTGTTTGAGCAGTGGTGGTGGCGGCAAGGAGGAGATCCAGGCAGGATAAGCAGCTTGGGAGCAATCAGAGCCAGGAGCTTCTTAAGCAGATGCTGTGTGGCATGACCACAATCTTTAAGTTTTAACTCCTTTGAGGGGCTATTTCAGTTTTAGTAGAATTCCTTTTAACCTTGCCTCAGTTTTTTTGGAGAGCTTTTAATCCTTTGGCTGTGTTTTTGTTTATTTTAATTTATTTGTTTTGTGTACAGTCTGACTTGCACTAATTCCTTTGCCACTGTCCCATGCTAGAAGTTCTCTTCTTATGCTGTTTTTCCCCTAATAAAAGCTTCAGGGCAGCAGATAATATGTGAAAATAGACTTTTCCTTTGATCTTTTGTTGTTGTTGTTGTTGTTGTTGTTGTTGAGAAGACCCTGGCGAGGTTTTCAGTATCTCACCAGCAGGAGGTAAGGTGGTAACTGGCATTTTTGATCTTAAAATGCCTTTTACTCTGTTAAGCTGTTATAATATAATGGATTTACGTGGAATGAGCTTCTCCTAGATGGGTGCTAGGATTGGATATGCAAGTTGAAAGGTGGAGAAATCCAGAATGAGAGAAATTAGGGAATGAAGAGGAGTTTTTATGCTGCTCAGTGAAGTGAAGAATACTTTGTCCTTATTATCTGTAGAGTTCTACACTGCAGCCATAACATACTGACTTATTTAGCTTTATGCATTAAAAAAAAGAGTTTATAATGTTATATTATTAAAAAAAAACCCAAACCCCAGAACCCCAGCAAAGTGTTTGTCTCCAGGATGAGTCTTTCACGGGAACCCAGGTATTTAAAAGGAATCTCTCTCTTCCTTTTGGCAATAATGGAAAATTTTCCAAAGTTTTGACCTTTATCTTTGCACCACTTAAGCTTTGTAATTCGTTGTTCTGCAGCTTGTCAGCAGCTACCTTCTGGTTTTTCCCCCTGCTTCTGGGCAATCCTGAAGTGTTCAGGATGCAACCAGAGCATTGTGTTTAAACCTGAATGTGCTGCTCAGGGGGGAGGGAGAGGAGATGAGGAGACATTTGTGGTGCTGGTCAAATGGAACATTCCTGGGAGAAGAAATTATGCTTGAAAATGGGCATTTATTATCTGAGACAACTGAGTGAGAAGTTCTTCTGTAATGAGATCACCCACGTTGGTTATTGTGTGAATTGTGCCACATTCATTGACAGGATCTGAACCTTCCTCTTAATATATAAAAACATTGTACCATGGTCTGCACTTAATTTGCCTCTTCCAGATGAAAAGCAGGTAATATGACAGCAGAAATATCCATTTAGAGTTCCACGTGAGCTTCGTCCTTGGAAAATCAGCGCCCGTTTTTCGGGAGGGAAATAGGAATTGCCTCTGCTGAGCTGTGGGGAGTGCTGGGGTTGGAATCCAGAGGGTTTACATGTCTCTCCTGTGTTTTTTGCAGCCCCAGTGGGAAGAAGTTCCGCAGCAAGCCGCAGCTGGCCCGGTACCTGGGCAGCTCCATGGACCTGGGCACCTTCGACTTCCGCACGGGAAAGATGCTGATGAACAAGATGAACAAGAACAGGCAGAGGATGCGCTATGACTGCTCCAACCAGGCCAAGGTGAGAGCAGGTGCAGTGGCACTCCCCCTCCCTGCCTCTTGGTGTGCTGCCAGAGCAGTGGCTGGGATATTTCAGGGGCTGGGGTAGAGTGAAAATGAAGCGTTTCGTGATCCAAGTGTGGAGTTGGAGTTGGGTGAGAACATCTCTGTTATGGGGGGTGGGATAAAAGCAACTCCCTGCTGCTCCCAGGGGGCTGGTGCCATGAGGAATGTTGTGGAACTACTCAATATTTGTGCAGAAGAGCACATTTGTCATCTTCATCTCTTCCCAGTGTCAAAAAAGACATGGACCTGTTGAAGTGAGTCCAGAGGAGGCCACAGAGATGCTCC